CAGCACAATACCAAACAGGCGACGGCATCGCACCCCCTGCATCACCCTTTCCCCTGCTTTTCTCTTTCTGTCTCTTTATCACTTTTTGTGCTAGCACTTCCCCGTTTCTCTGAGGCACCAGCCGTCTTTTGCCCCAGCTGGTTTAAGTGACAAACACAGTAACATCCAGAGCGGTTTTCAGCGTGCACTTAGCTGTGAAGATGCTTCCATCTGAAGCCTGAGGAGACTGTGTGTGAATGAGAACCACCACTGCTGCTGCTCCTCCTTTCAGATCTGTTAGCTTGTCCAAAAAAAGGTGTGACCTCTCTCAAAAAAATCTTCATTTTTGCTTTCCTCCTGCTCCAGCGGGATGCATTTTGTGTGGATATTTTCCAGATGAATTAGTTCAAAACAAAGGTTGGCAGTGCTTGTTTCTGTCAGTGCCCGTACCTTTTGCAGGTTTATGGTCTGATGTCCCGAAGTTAATTCCTTTTAAAAATGCATGGCTTTTCCCAGCTCCAGGTGAGGTTTGCCTTTACTGGCTGCTTGTGGGGGTGCTTTGGGGCCGAAAGAACTCAGCCATCCGTTGGCAAAGAGGGAAGAGGCCAACAGAAGAGACAAGAAAAAGTTAGTGTGGCTTTTGTGCACAATATAAAGAGCAAGTCGATACCATTGTAGAGGCATTGGAGGGTACTCAAAGCAATCAGCCAGGGGCCATTGTGTTCCTTTAATCTACATGCGTATTTCCCAAGAACTCCATTAGTGAAGATGAATGAACTGTGCAATGTCCCTAATTTCTTCTAATTTGGAGCTGTGGTTTTACCACACTCACAACCAGCACAAAACACGCCTGTCCCTCCAGAAGCCCTGGGCAAACTTGGGAATCATTTTTGCTTGTTGTAGCAAAGAAAGATAGCAAGGTGAGACAAAGGAGCAAAAATCCTTTAGCCAGTGCCACTAAGGGCATTGGATCCTGGCACAGATAATACTTTTAGGTACCTGTCAAAATTGTCAGTTACAGGAGTAAGACTCAGTATTTTTTTTTTCTGCTTATAACGATGTGAATGTGCAGCAACAAAACTTTCCACCCTTGAAGCAGGGTGCACGAGCCCCACACAGTACACAAGAGACCTTCCTCCCTAACAGAGAAGGATCCTTTGCTCAGCAGTAGATTGCTACAGTTGTATTTGCCATACGGAGCTACATTTGTCACTGTAGCATCCTTCTTGCAAGGGAGTGGAGTTGTTGAGGGAAGCAGCAACTCCTTTGGTCCAAGCTGAAAAACAAAAAGCCAAATCAAAAAACCCACAGCCTTGTAGCAGAGCAGAGACGGCTCTGACTCTTCCAGGTCTAGCTTTTCTCCCTTGCCATGCTTCAGGCACAAACTGTGTGCCCTAACACACACGAGGCACCAGAGAGCTCCAGGGGGTGAGGAAGACTAATGGTTCCTCTGATAACACAGAGAGGTTTAGAATGGCGAAGAAAGGTAACTAAACATTTCCCTTCGGGTCTAATGTACTGGCTGGCCGCTGAATCCCTTGCTGCCAGAGTCCTCTGGGACGTGTTGTATTAGTACGAAGCCTCAGAAACTGATCCTGTGGTATGTCACAGCTTTGAAAAGGACGTTTACCTTTGGGTAAAGCTTTGTTTTTTTCCTCCCCAGAAGCTCCCAAGTATCTAGTTTAAGAACCTTCTTGAAAGCATAATGCATGAGGAAGCTGCTGCCTCCTCCTATCACTGCATCACTTGTACCTTGCCGGTCTCCTGCTTTTTCTCTTGTGAGATTTTTCTGCCCCAGGACAGTCAGCTGTGTTTTCTCTACCACTGACACGGTGATCTCTGGCACGCGGGAATCACACAGAACCTGCTGCCTGGGCGCCTGTCTGGGCTGTGAGCAGGGAATCAGCTGAGAGCCGGGCAGCCTGGGCTGGTGGGAGCGCCACGGGCTGGGTGTGAGGGCTCTGGCATTCAGGCTTGCCGTGCTCAGCCATCCCTTCAGCGGGAGTGAGTGGAGGTTCATGCTATAAAGCTATATTAATGCAATCCTTCTTTACTTGTTTTCCAATTAGCCTAATTGAATTCAGATTGCTTAAAAGTGGGCACTAGAGACATTTATCTTGATGGGATGACGGCCTTGAGCTCCAGCGATCCTATTAACTATAAGAACCCAAATCCCAGGTAGGGTCCGTCCAGCAGGAACTCCCACGTGACCTAACACTTTAATCTGCTCCTCTTCTGTCCAGCACACACACAGACACACAGACATGTACATGTACATGCACACGTGTGCACAGGTGCATGCACACGGGGACACATGCATTTGTGCACACACACAGACACAAGCACATCCCCATACACACATACCGGCACATATGCACATGCACACACGTGCAGTGGCTGCACCTTAAGGTTCCAGCAGCCTTAGGAGAAAGGCTGTTTTTTGAAAGCCACTGGAGAAAGACCTTCTTTCCCTTTTCTTGAGAGCTCTAGTGTGCTGCCTGTCAGCCAGGTTCCCCTGTGGTCTGTCTGCAGGCTAAGCACCTAGGACCTGCGTGCCCCGTGACATGTACTCTGTGTGACCCTGTCACCTCCCACCCGTGTGCCTCCCCAGGCCTGCAGCTGCTGTCTGAGGACAGGGACAGCCTGTGCTGGAGGGATGAGCCATGCAGGTGCTGGCAGGGAGCAAAGTGAGGATCATTCTCCTGCTGAGGGCAGCACAGATTTGCCTCTCTGCCCTGGCCATGAGGGTTCTCAGGGAGATTTAGAGCAATGGTGCTCCCCTGTCTCTGGAGCTGAGTCCCACTGCTCCTGTGCACAGCCTGGTGCCGCCCCAGGGTGGGTGCAAACACCCCAGGGAAACTCTATCTGAGCATGGGGGATCAGGGCAGAAACCAGCACCTCTGGTAGCTCAGTCCTGCCACTCCAGACTGTGTGGATCTCTGCTCTGAGATCTGGGGAGTGCCCCAGGCTGTACGTGGGGAGGGCTCCCAGCCACCTCCCAGTCCCACCTGCCTCTGTCAGCCCTGATATTTTTTTGGAGTCTCATTAATCGTTTGTTTGGTGATTCTGACTGTACTTTCTTCTCTGACCCTTTAAACCGTGAAAATGCTGATCCTATATCTGCTGACAAATTTAATTAGATCCTTTAAACCACCAGATGCTTTCAGTAAGATTTTCAGGATGTCCCGGGCACATTTTAATTCAATGGTTGCGAGTCTTAGGCCTGTTTACTTTGGTGTTTTATAGATAAGACTATTCAGTCTATAAAGCAACAGAACAGTGTGGAGACACTAGCCAGATTTATACTAATAGAGAGGGAAATTAATTGACTCTCACAAACCACAGGCTGGTTGAGCTGAGCTGGCCACTGTTTTAGCTACTTTATCTTTATGTAAAGACCTCCTAAAAGACCCCATTTTTCTTTCCACATAGGTAATCAAATTCTCTGGTGCCACATGAGAGAAGGATCCCAAGAGACAGAAATCAGATCAGAACTTTTAGTGGTTTTAGGCACAGTAGCCTTGATGCTTGGCAGACCTGCTGAGGATAGGTTTTCTTCACTAAAGAAATGACCTGTTAGAGTACAAGAGCCATTGAATGGACCAGGACATGACCCAAGTCAGGCAAAGGGAGCTCAGCACAGAGAGAGTTTCACACCTGGAGTGTGCTGCAATCGTACCTTGTGCACTTCACAGACCAATATCTGAGGCCAGGATTAAGGAAGGAAGTGAGATGAGAGAGAAGAGAAGAGAAGAGAAGAGAAGAGAAGAGAAGAGAAGAGAAGAGAAGAGAAGAGAAGAGAAGAGAAGAGGAAAAGGGTGGGAGAGAAAAGACAAATAGAAAAGGAAAGAAAGGGAAGAGGAGACAAACCATACTTAGCACATTTGTTCATTTAAAATGAATATTTTTACTTGATTAGATGGAGACAGAAAGAGAGAGAGAAAAAGAGACTTATAAACCCGTAGGAAGGTGCCATGTATTCATTTCCAAATTTAATTCATAGGCTCACTCTTGGAGAACTTACGAAGTACTTCACTATGTAGAACACCTGAGCCCCTCGGGAGCAGCATCCTGCCTGTCCCACAGCCTCAGTCACATTTAGCACTAGTGAAAGCTGTGCTTTTCCTTGGGGTTTGGGTGCCCTACCCTGGCACAACCTTCCAGGAGGGCCAGATTTGCTTTTAGGCTTTGACGGAGGTGACTCCCAGAGTCACCATGCTGAGCTTGGTTTAGCCCATACGAGTCCTGTGCTGGCAGCCCAGGCCCCAGAATTTGGCACACACAGCAGCCAGGCAGAGGGGCACTGCTGTCCCTTGGCGTTCAAACTGCTGTTGGAGACCGAGGGGCTGTGAAGAGGACGTTCTGGAGGAGCCTGCACTGCTGACTGAGCAGGGCTCACCGACAGCCACCAAGCCTTGCTGGCCTGCAAGCCCCACTCAGTGCTATAGATGACAACATTTTTGTCCCAAGCTGTTGGGCTACATGCTCCACTTTTTGCCTTTCATTACATTTAGTACAGAGATGGTAAAAAACATTTTTTAAAGTGTTTGCAGCAAAAGTCAACATTTGAATAGTGTTTGTTTCAAAATGTTTGAATCAGGCATGTATTTATAGGATATATGCGTTTGTTTCTGAAAGTGGTATTAAATGAGTGGTTACCTATATGTGATGGATCAGAAATACAATTTTGCTAAAACATACACATTTAATAGCATTTTGATAACTTTAAAAAAATGGAAAAAGGCACATTTTTTCCCCAATATTAACTTTTTTAAAGCCTTTTTTTTTTTTTTCATGGGGGAAAAATGTTACACTAAAAAATGAGGATGAGCTCTACCTTTGTCCTAGGCCGTCACAGGGTGTGGGTTTGCAGCCTCCCCTCAGGGTTTGAGGTCTCTCTCTCGTCACTTTCTGTGTGTACATGGAGTGCTATGGAGCTAAGTGTGTCCCTGTGCTTCCCTCGCCCTGCAGCCCTGGCCAGGCCAGGCTGAGGTGGCAGCCCCTGGGCACTGGTGGCTCCTCTACATGACAGAACATTTCTGCTCAGCTGCCTGTTTTATCTCCGTGAACGTGGCCTGTGCCTTCTCCTTGAGCGCGTCCACGTCCATGTTCTGGATGTTCTGCAGCTGCCCCAGGATAGAGTCCTTGTCCTCTTCCTCCTCCTGGTCTTCTGCCACCATCTTCTGCAGGTCTTCGGGCAAGCCCACGTCATCCCCAGCCATCTGTATCTGGTTCTCGTCCAGCTCGCTCTGACAGAAAGCAGCAAAAACAACAGGCGTGAGGGACCTGCCGGGAGCTCTGCTGTGTCCCTTGGCTCTCAGGGAGAGCTGAGCCCAACACAGACCCCTCAGAGCTCGGGGTCCCGCCCGGCGCTGGCAGCAGGAGCTCTGCTGTGTCCCTTGGGTCTCAGAGGGAACAGATATATCGACACAGACCCCTCAGAGCTCGGGGTCCCGCCCGGCGCTGGCAGCAGGAGCTCTGCTGTGTCCCTTGGGTCTCAGAGGGAACAGATATATCGACACAGACCCCTCAGAGCTCGGGGTCCCGCCCGGCGCTGGCAGCAGGAGCTCTGCTGTGTCCCTTGGGTCTCAGAGGGAACAGATATATCGACACAGACCCCTCAGAGCTCGGGGTCCCGCCCGGCGCTGGCAGCAGGAGCTAGACCCCTCAGAGTGCGGGTTCCCGCCCGGCGCTGGCAGCAGGAACTCTGCTGTGTCCCTTGGGTCTCAGAGGGAACAGATATATCGACACAGACCCCTCAGAGCTCGGGGTCCCGCCCGGCGCTGTGAGCGGGCGCAGGAGCTCTGCTGTGTCCCTTGGCTCTCAGAGGGAACAGACATATCGACACAGCCCCCTCAGAGCTCGGCGCTGGGGGCCGGAGCGTGTTGCCCGGGGCAGCAGGAGCCGCTGCGGAGGCACCGACAGGGCTGAGGGGCAGCAGACGCCGCACAGGTCCTGCCTGTGCCCCAGAACCTCCCGCACGGCCGTGTCAGCTGCTCACACAGCGCCGGGTTCGTTCGGTTTGGTGGTGGATTCTGGCGGAGCTCAGGAGAACGGGACATTTTGACACAGTTCGCACATCAAAGGTAAGCATTAATGCCTCATTACGTCTCCAAAATGAAGCTCGACAGCAGCAAAGGCCTGATATGAATAAGCAGCGATGCTATCAGCAGGAGGTATTTTTGAGGGTGAGGGCTCTGGGCTTGCATGAATGAATGGAGGCACATATAGGAGGAGCAGTGTCTGTCGTTCCAGGCCTCAGCAAGGACAGGCAGACTGGGATGGTCAACTGCAGAGATGTGTTTAACATTACATATTTGCACAGCTTTATATTTGCAGTAACTGTCTAACTCGATTTCTCCCCATCTCTCCTATGAAACTACGGAGAGCTGTATCAGGATTGTTACTACTATGTGGCTGAGCACATAGTAGTATGTGCTTTGGGAAAGGGTTGCTGCTGTCAGACCTGTGGGGTCTAGAAACAATCCAAATCAGCAGAGATGTTTTTTATTGATTGTGTGGCAGGGAAAAATGTGTTAAGCTTTTAATCAGCAAGTGGTGTCTATCAGAGGAGTTAGCCCATTTGAAATCCTCCCAAGCAGCGGTAGAGGATGATAGAAAAAAATAGCATCTTAACTGCTGAAAAAGTGCCCCTCAGCAGACACTCACATGCATTCTTTTCTTTAGAGCTATTTATAGTTTAAGGCATCATCACTGAATACTACTGCAGTGATGCACATTTCTGGCAATGTGAACAATTGTCTGGCATGTTCTTGCACCAAAGCTCACTGTGCTACTGAAGTCTGAGATGTGATGCACAACACAGTTTGGGGGTTCAAAGTGTTCCCTGACTGAAGAAGAAGATATTCAGATGTAGTCTGAAGCAACACAATTCTGCCCAAGTCACCTGCCTCTACCCACTTGGCACTTAGTTTGTCCTTGACTAGATCTAGAATGAGCTTCAACAGTGGTGTTGCTCAACAAGAAGCAAAGCTGCACATAATATGTGTGGCTTCTTATCTTTCTTCTAAAATCTGACAGATTTGTTTCTTGTTTACTTTGGTTTGAAATGGAAATGTAGGATTGTGTTTCTGATTTTATCTATTGGGTGTTGTTTGGGATTTTTTGAGTCTGGTGGAAAAAATTTAAAGCTTGGTTTCTCACAAGGAGAGGTTTTCCTGAGGCCAGATGTGGCTCTGACAGCAATAGAGGCACTACCCTGCACCAGAATACACTCAGCTTGGGCTCCAGAGAGCACCCAAGGTAGGCAGAGCTCATGGACAGCACAGCTGGGGCCACAGGCCCACACAGGCTCAGACTCAGGACCCAGGCAGACCTGAGCTGGACTGGAGGGAATCTCTCCCAGTGACTTTCATCTCCATAGCCTCCAGGTCCCTGCACATGTTCAGTCACCCTTTTAGGATCTCTGAGAACACAGAAGCCACATCTATTCTAGTAAATTAAATATGTCTGGCACTGGTCTCTTGCCCCAAGGCCAGCTGGCCTGGAAAAACCCACTGAGATGCTATTGAACTCTCTCGTCCTACCAAACAGGGTGGTCCCATCTCTCTGCCGACTGGGAATGCCTGTCCTAACTCCCAAACTGGCCCTGGGAACTGCTTGGGAGAGTGCCCAGGCCAAAACTGGGTCAGACATTATTCTGACAACTCAACAGCATAGGCGATGGAGTCCTGGTCCGTGGTAATATTATTTGACCCTATTATGCATCCGATGGAGGCAGCACCAGGTCCATTCTGTCACAGAGGCAGTACACTACAGAGTGCTTCACATATACATGATTCACAGGTGGGTGTGAGCAGAAAAGAGCCTAAACATCTGTTTATATGAAGTCTGCTTGTAAACAGAAAAGACCAGAATTCACAGACTAGCCCACAGGGGAGCTAAACTGCTTTCTAGCATTGCTTTCCTTATGCCTAACTTATCCTGCCATAAAATTGGCCTATGCCTATGTGCAGAGATCCTTAGGTAAGTGAATCCAGACCTGATCTTGTGATTCATCACCTGTAAGGCACAGTTACGTACAAAATCAGAGTTCATCTGCCCTTGACCTGCAGGTGGGAATTTCAGCCCCCATTGTCCCTGTGCCACCCAAGGGCTGCAGGTACCTCACAAGTAGGTACCAGGAACCATAGGTTGGACCCAGCAGCCTTCTCCCCCACAAGCAAACTCTCGTGCATCCCCACATAGAGATCACAGTTTGGAGCACAGGGAAGGCGTGTGGGGACTGCTGCTCCTGACGGCTGCATTGTGACTCTGCTTTCCCACAGTGGATCCACAGCTGTTTCACTCTTTAAATCAAGCTGTAAGAACATCCCCACCACAGCACAATGGAGCAAGAGCTGTTGGAGATTACATGTCCCTTTCATGGCTAGGAGCTTTCCTTTTTGATGCCTTTAGCAGCACTTGTTGTTGAA